ATTGATCCCGTAGCGCCTGCCAAAGCCGTTCGTTAGATGATGGTATTGGTATCGTAATAGCTGCGAACATCCTAAAGACGTACTGTGGCTTTAGCGTCTAGATTCTACTGAAAAATACGCTGCTGGTGCGATAGATTAAATGGGACATTCTGGTGTCCAAAACAATGCTAGGAAATTGCACCTCAGAAGATAGTCCTTGAATTAAGGGAAGGGGAAATTCTGGCAAATGTATTTCTTTTCAAAACCTTAACAGCTAAAAATAAAATGAAGGTTTAATTAAAAAATATATAAAATTAAAAAAAGATCAAAATAAAATAAGATCCTAGAAATTAGATGAAACTAAAAACAAGTAAGAAATCTAAGTGCGAGCGGAGCCGAAAATTAAATACCCGGCGCAAGTATTAAATATATGTTTTTCACCTTTCCGAAAGCTACCGCTACATGGTAAGTCGGGGTGTATCAATTTTGAGTAAATTAGCGTTCGAAATGTTGAAGTTCCAAGCATTTCTGAAATTTACCGTTATATGAATGGCGGCCGCAATTTTAGTCCGATTTCAATAATTTGCTACGTTTTGCTTTTATGTGGCAAGTGCAATAACCATACCGAGTTTGGTACAAATTGGTAGAACGGTTACCGAGATACATATATGTGATCATAAGTGGGCGTTGCCACGCCCATTTTCCAAAATTTTATCATAAACGTATTTCTTGGTAAAGAATTGTTGTAAGCATAAATTTTGAATAAATTAGCTTTAATATTTTCTGATTTATCGAAGATTTTGTATTTCTCCAAATTACCGTTATATGGGATGAGGGCGTGGTTATTGTCCGATTTTAGAAATTTTCGGTCATTTGATATGCTGTGCTAAGGCCAACAACTGTGCCAAGTTTGGAAGAAATTGGTGCAGCGGTTACCAAGATATACACATGTAACCATAAGTGGGCGTGGCTACGCCCATTTTCCAAAAATTTATAATATTCATGTTTTCCGTCTGAAACTCATTGTAAATATCAATTTTGAGTGAATTATCTTCAGTAGTTACTAAAATATCGCTGTTTTCGTATTTCTGAAAATTACCGTTATATGGGAGGTAGGCGTGGTTATTGTCCGATTTCGCCCATTTTCAATACCATCCGTCCTACGCCCAAAAGAAGTTCACTTACCAAGTTTCATTAAGATATCTCAATTTTTACTCGAGTTATCGTGTGCACAGACGGACAGACGGACGGACGGACGGACGGACGGACAGACAGTCACCGCTTAATCGATTTCTCTTTTCATTCTGATCATTTATGTATACATTTGTCTATATCTATCTCGATTCGTTTTGCCTGTTACAAACAACCGTTATGTGAACAAAGTTATAATACCCTTGTGCACAAGTGCGCTCGGGTATAAAAATTAAATGAAATTAAACAAAAGATATGAATATTTATATTTCTTTCTAAAACCATTAAAATTATAAATTTAACAAAAATTAGTTAAAAAGGTAAAAATTACATTAAAAATCATGTAAGACTTTCGTGACAGAATAAAAAAATTCTATCAAACTATCTTGGCTAATGTCTTTCAATTGTTTTACATAGGACTCGCAACTTTTATAAGTCATAATTGCGCTGGAAATTGTATTGTAAATTTTTTTCTTTTTAGTAACCAACATCGGTCCAATTTCGCTCAGATTGAAACTCAGACTACTGTTCGAGGGATTTCGCAAAATTTTATCTGACACTGTCCGTTTCAAGGGTGAAAAGCTTCGTTCGTATGCCACTGCTTCTGAAAAGAACAAAGTCTGTTTTGTGAAAATCACCGCAAGGATATCAGACAGCTGTGACGAATTTTCATCAGACCGTTTTTATATGTAAATGCGAAATTCAATGAAATAAAATTCCCTGAAACACAGGGTGAGAAGGCTAAAATGAAGCTATTATCACATTGACAATGAAACCAAGTTCTTTTCTTTAATTCCCAGCGATGTCGTGCGCAAAAAGGCAACAGGATACAGCACATGACGTTTAGCATTGCTGTGAATCGTCATTTATTACACCCACCAAAACTGTCAGCACTGTCACAAGGGTTAAGCCACCATCAAGCGCATTCATTCAACTTCTCTCAAGTCAGCACGCTGACCGTGAAGGGCGTGTGAATGTGTGTGAAAGACATGAAATTCCTCTAGTATTTCAGTGCAATTTATTCTCACTTACATCAAACAAATAAATAAACAAACAAATATAGTACATGCATACATATGCACATGCAAGCTTTGATCTGCTTCCTTTTCAATTGAGCCGCAGCGGCTTTTGTTTGCTTTCAATGCGAGAGTACTGCGAGTGCCCGTCTTTAGACGATGAGTGCGGGCGCACACTCCCTCAAGCAAGTGAGATACGAAGAACACAAAAGCATCAACCACCAGTAGATATGTAAGTATATTTGAGGGATTATTTGCTGTTGGATCTTTTTTTCCTGTTCGTTGGTGAACCGGCCTCATTAGAATGACGGAAATATTTTTCGTATAACAAACGCTATTGAATTTGATCTGACCGGCACGATGTGGCGAATGCGACGACGACGACGACGACGGCGACCGATGGCGACCGTTGATGACGACAGCAGTAGGCAAAAAATAGAATAGCAACAAAAGCAAATGGGAGCAACAAGAAATGGACGTAACAACAATGCAGCTTATGGGGAATATGTCAGCGACCAAGTTTATGGCGGAAAGCCGTACTACTATTTGCGAACAATATTGCACTGCTGGCTGTTGTGGCTGCTCGGCGTAAGATCGGTGGATGCGGCAGCTAAATGAGTGCTTTGCCGCTGCGGTATGTGGTTGTTGCAGCGTTGCGCACGCGTAGTAAGTCTTCCATTGAACCACTTTTAAATTACCAATTGTTGTAGTTACTTTTCTCTCGGCGTTTCGCTGCTGGGTGCTGTAAAAGCTGCTGCTTGCAACAACATGTGGCATGGCATCATATAATACTAATACAAGCATCGTACGCTTTTTCCGTGTATGTATGTATGTATGTAGGTATGTGTATGTGCATTCCAACTTTAAATTAAAATTTATGGTTTGCAGCGATTTTTTTGCGTTTTCCGCCAACAAATGACGTGATGCGCTGAAAGGCTGTTGTTGTTGCCGCCGCTGTACGTGTTATCTGCTGCTGCTTGGAGGAGTTGCAACATATTGTTATTGCTGCTAATACGATAGTCAATAGCTCTTGTTGGTCGTTTGTGAATTTTAATCCTGTTATATTTGTTACTACACCACATGTTTGTCGTTGGCTGGCAGAAAGCCATAAGTCAAAAAATAAAAGAATAAGAAAAATGCCAACAAAGTTTTAAGTCAGTTTATTTTTATTTTTTTGCTGGTTATAATAATAATCGTTTGGTTATTGGATCTAGAGGCCAAAGCTGGCACGAAATCTCTATTCGGCTTCTTGTTTTTGTCAAATAGCGATGTTGCTAGCAAAGTGGAAATGACTGAAGTTGCAAGTTTTTCCAGTAAATAGCTATTTTTCTGTATAGTAGAATGGCCGAAGAGTGAGTTTTGAGTACATTTTTGGGTGGTATTAACATGACAACGACTAAAATAAATTGCAAATGAAAGCCGTAATTGTAGAATTCAACAAAAAAAAAATATAAATAGAGAAACTTCGTTCGATTGATTTTTAGTCTGAATTGTAAGCATTTAGAAAAGACACTTTAATATATTTTTTTTTACTTTTTCGAAAAAAGTTTTTTTCGGCGTTATTTTGCAGAATTTTCTTTTCCTTCTCAGGAACTCTAGCACTTTTGAAAAGCTACTCAGAACGTTTTTTAAATTTAATTTTTTTTCAAAAATTTAACTTTTTCGACTTTTTCGTAAAAACTGTTGTTTTCGGCGTAATTTTGCAGAAATCT